CAGAGGTGATAGTTTAGACCGGGCAGGTGCTATTATTTTTCTTGTTACTGTAGAGTCGTCCACGCCGGCCCCGGATTTTCTCTCGCGCGGCACTAACGACATTACATTGTAAAGTGCTGTCCCAGGCGTGCCTGTCTCCCTGTGCCTTGTCCAGAAATAGCACTTGGAGTTAATTATAGTCCACTCTCCAGACTGTGACCTCCCTGTGCCCTGGTCACCTTGGCCCCCCTCCCCAGCACCTGGCGCCATGTCTGCTGAGCTTAAAGGAGGGAGCGTCCATCTGGGAATAGACGCTGGTCCTCAGGCCCATCTCTGTCACATCCTCGTTCGCTTGTCCCCACGCACTCCGCCCCCTGGAGCACGAGGCAGCCGGCCCAGGAACACCTCCCCTTCTCCATTCTCAACCACAGGGACCACAGGGACCTGGGGCAGGAGGCCAAGGTGAGGCCGGGCCAGATGCCTCAGCAACGTCTCCCTGACAACAGCCCAGCCTGTGACAAGCGGGGTCTGGGTTAATAAGCAGCCCAAGGTCAGCTGTCAACAGATGCAGCCTCCTGGCAGGTGCACCTCCCAGAGCAGGGCCCACCTCGTCCTCACCGTCCGCCCTCAGACCTCAGGGTGATGGGAGGCGGAGCTGTGACCCCCACTGCTGGGGAGGAGCAGCGTGGGAATGGCAGTCTGGGCGTGGTCTGGGCAGGTCCTGCTCTGTTTGATGAGCCTTCTTAGGTCTCAGATGCCTGGATGACAGAAACCCCACGTTCTCTCCTTCCCACAGGAACCTGATGAGGACATGGCGGTAAGAGAGGAATCGTCATGGGGCCGAGGAACAGGAAATCAGATTTATTGAGCACCTGTGCGGGCCGGCGTGGCACACGCACACTCACGCACACACACACCCAGGCTGGTTCAGGGGTGCGGGGGAGGCACCCATCCCAGCTCCGGCAGCACCTGCCCACCTGCACCCTCAGGAGAGCCCAGAGTGGCTGCCGCCTGCCTTTACAGTGCAGGTGAGTGAGGTCAGTAAGGCGCTCGCACGGACAGGTCCTTCCATGGCTGAGACACCAAATCCGCATCGAAGGGCAGGGCCTGCTCCCCCCACACCGGCCTCTCCATCCGAGTCCAAACAGTATCCTGCGAGCCACTGCCGACCCCGTGGCACTTCCATGCAGAGGCCTGGAACGGATCCCCGCTCTCTGCACTCCCGGCGGGAGGCAGAGCATTCACGGGTCTGCAAACTCGTTCCTCTCGCTTCACTGTCCCTCCTGGCAAGGTGCCCGGGCGCCTCCGGCTCGGCCAGGAGAGAAGCACCAATTCATTCTCCAGTTCCCTTCGGGGCGAACAGGTGAAGTTGGCCAGAGGCTGGTCGGTTTCAGCACCAGGAGTTCCTTCATGGGCAGCACCCGTCGACGGGCTGTCGGGACTAAGACTCAATCCGCTGCCCCCAAATGAAGTTTCCACTTCAGAGGAGAGGGAGCAAAACTCGCAAAGCATGAACAAATGCAATAAAAATAATAATTAATAAAAATAATAATCTGACTGACCGCCAGCATCTGTTGGTTTTAATAACACCGAGGTCTCCCGAGAAAATAAAACAAATGATAAAAGAAGAAAAGCAGGTGGCCAAAATGTTTCAAGATCTCTGACGTCCTCGGGCTCTGAGTTCAAGTTTCAGAAATCCACCGCAGTCCCCGGGCCTTCCGGAATCTTCTAGGGGCCCTTCACATTCCCCGGGCGGGCAGCAAGGCTCGGGGTGTCCAGCGGGTCCGGTCTCCCCCTGAGGGCCGGGGCCCCCAGGAAGCCCATCTTTGGCGTAGCCGGGCTCCCCAGGTTGACCTGGCCAAGGAGCAAAACAAACAGAAGGGGGTCAGGTTTCTCCGGAGCAAACGAGCCCTTTCTCGGTGCCTCCACCGGGACGAGCCGCCCTGGAGACGCCCTCAGAGAGCAGCTGGGTCTGGGCACCGGGACGGGCTCCGTGGACACCAGGGCGCAGGGGCACCTGGCTGTGCAGGGGAAGCGCTGCCTGGACTGTTGGCCAGGACAGCGATCGGAGCCACCGGAGAGGAGCAGACAGAGGCAGGTGACGGCCAGGGACGGAACGTGTGCTCCGTAGCGGGCGGATGGGAGACCCGGCCTTCTGTGTTCTCACAGGCTCCTGGGAGGAGCTTCTGACTGCGAGTGGGACGCCCAGTCCTGTCACTGACCATCAGCCGATTCACCTGTCCCTAGAGGCACCTGGTGACATCCCATTCTCCATACCCAGCTGGTCACAGACAATCTGCAATCTCTAAGCTTTATCACGTGTGCACCTGCAGACGGGGACCACTCAGCCTATTGTGCAAATCCTGGGCCAAGACCACGTAAACAGAATGTAAGCAACTGACAGACCAGAATGACCCAGACAATATGACCCGTAGACACGCTTCCCTGCCTCCACTTATTAAGCACCATGACACAATATATAATCAACCTGTCTCCATTTTTGCTTTGGCAACTGGGAAGCTCGGAGCTAAGGGCTAAAGTTAACCTTGGCAATGAGATTCCTTCTTAAGTCTTAATAATCATGTTAGGAAATCTGAGTCCCCCATAAACTAAATGGAAAGTAGATTCTTGCCTTAAAAAGGCCTTCAGACATTTCAGGAACACAAATTCATGAGGGCTTTGGTGGTCGCTATGTCACCTACAGCCCTGCCCTAGACCAGGTCCTGAGACCAGGAGCTTACTCATTCCTTCAGCTCAGAACCCCTGAAGTCCAGTCTTACCCCAACCTCATCTGTACGGTCAACTCCCCCTTCTTTACTTGGAATCGCCTTATTTAAAAATATTATTAACATTCAAGCTACTGAGAAGCAGGCAAGAAGTCAGAAATAAGTATTTACAATGCATTTGTAGGCATCTTCTCTAAGGAGAATAGCAATTGTGGCCACTGGAGGGCATTTGGAAAATCAAGAAGATATATATATATATACACACACATATATATACACACTAAAATTAAAATGACCTCTAGCTTAATATTCAGAAGTGACCTCGGGCCATCGTGTGAACTAGAATTAAACCTAGAAACCTCAGTGGCACGGAGCTCGATAACCACGCAGTGTCACTCCTTCCACTTCCTGCATCCATCTCGCACCGTGGAACTGCTGCATTCCCACAGAGCCCCGGGGTGGGGAGATGAACTTGCCTGGTCCCAGGAACAGGCCAGCCTGGGACAAGCCAGCCCTACTGGCTACCCTGCCGCCTGGCCAGCACCCCCCAGATATGCTGAGACATAAGGATGGGGTGCAGAGGGAAAGAATCAGGGCTCCATGGTCAAGGGTATGTGGGAAAGGCTGCTTAACCAACTGAACGTGCGTTTTTATGCAAGTTCCTCGGCCCATGTAAGAAGCCAGCGTGCCCTGGGGATGGCTGAAAGGGGCTGCAGCTCCCAGCACGGCCCAGGCTTATTTCACCCCAAATCAAGGGCCCAGGGATGTCCCACCGTTGTCCTAGCAAGTCCAGAAGAGGCATTTCAGATGGGACAGAAAATCCGTGTCCGGTGACCTTGTAGTTAAAGGTCACCCTTTCTCCCCAGCCTTCCCCGAAGGGACCCACCACCGTGGACGCTGTCCCCACCAGAGACCCCAGATGCCATGCCCACCTGGGATTCCGGGGGGGCCCATCTCGCCTCGGAGGCCGACACCTGGCGTTCCTGGGTCACCTTTGGCTCCTCGCTCACCTGTGAGGGGAACACACACCTTCAGAGGTAGAGACAGACCCATGGTGAGGGTTCCTGTGTAGGAGGGGGGTCCTCAGGGACCTGCAGCCTCCACTCCGACCACCCACAGCCGGGCCCTAATTCCTGTTCACACACTCACCACACTCACCTTCATGTGCACGCATTTGGAAATATGCACAGGTGCACACACAACTGACACTTGCTCCTAAATGCATGCTCAAGTCGCACATTTACACCGTGAACCTCACACATAACTACCTGTCACATGCACACACAGGCACATACACACGCCAGCAAATAGGTACATACTCATCCACACACGGAGACTCACGCAAACGCAGGCATGGCTACCCTGCCGCCTGGCCAGCACCCCCCAGATATGCTGAGACATAAGGATGGGGTGCAGAGGGAAAGAATCAGGGCTCCATGGTCAAGGGTATGTGGGAAAGGCTGCTTAACCAACTGAACGTGCGTTTTTATGCAAGTTCCTCGGCCCATGTAAGAAGCCAGCGTGCCCTGGGGATGGCTGAAAGGGGCTGCAGCTCCCAGCACGGCCCAGGCTTATTTCACCCCAAATCAAGGGCCCAGGGATGTCCCACCGTTGTCCTAGCAAGTCCAGAAGAGGCATTTCAGATGGGACAGAAAATCCGTGTCCGGTGACCTTGTAGTTAAAGGTCACCCTTTCTCCCCAGCCTTCCCCGAAGGGACCCACCACCGTGGACGCTGTCCCCACCAGAGACCCCAGATGCCATGCCCACCTGGGATTCCGGGGGGGCCCATCTCGCCTCGGAGGCCGACACCTGGCGTTCCTGGGTCACCTTTGGCTCCTCGCTCACCTGTGAGGGGAACACACACCTTCAGAGGTAGAGAGGGACCCGTGGTGAGGGCAGAGACAGGGTCCCCGTGTAGGAGGGGGGTCCTCAGGGACCTGTGGCCTCCACTCCGACCACCCACAGCTGGGCCCTAATTCCTGTTCACACACTCACCTTCATGTGCACACATTTGGAACTATGCACAGGTGCACACACAACTGACACTCGCTCCTAAATGCATGCTCAGGTCACAATTTACACTGAGAACCCCACACATAACTACCTGTCACATGCACACACAGGCACATACACACGCCAGCAAATAGGTACATACTCATCCACACACGGAGACTCACGCAAACGCAGGCAACCACATGCACACACTCATGCACACTCGCCGCAGATGCACGCATCCGTGCATCCACTCACGCAGGCTGCACGGCACGTCCTCAGAGCATTTGCCAGAACCTCTGAGAGGGAACAAGCCCAGCATCCCCGGGCCTGTGGCACGTGCACAAGACACAGCTCTCCTCCCGAAGCTGGGACGCGGCTGGCGGGAAGCGGCACGGAGAGCACGCTGGTCCGAAGCAGAGTGCGGCCCAGGCGTGGGACACTGAAGAATCCATGAGAACAGTCCTCATGCCACATGGGCTGTGCCCCTGCCTCGCTGAAGGTCACATCCTCCTGGCCTCCCTCGGCCCCGAAGAACCCACGTTTGTGGCACCGAGGAAAGCACCAGAGAGAGTTAGGGAGACCGGGCCCTACCCCGCGGGATTGAGCCGCGTCTGAGTTAACACTGTACAGACTGAGTACGCTGGCCCCTCCGCTTCCTTCCCATCGGTCACCTTTCTATGTCGTTTCTACAGTATCTCCGCTCGGCGACGGGTTTTCTTTTGTAATCCCGTGGAAAGTGTGCTGGTCTGTGGGGCGTGAGACCAGTCTTTCCTGTTGGAACGGCTACATTTGCTCAGTCTTCCTCCCGGTCTGATGTTTTTCTATGTTTTATGTTTTCTTATGGACACTTATCTCATGCATTTTGTTTTATGAAATGAGATGGGATTTGGACACAAATGTAACAGGAAGCCTTTTCCGGAGGAGAAACATTACAGTGAATGAATGAATGAACGAACGAACGAACGAACGAAGAACTAGAAGGGAAACAGGCCATGGGAAGGGAAGATGCAGGAGCATCCATTGCCCTAAGCCCAAGTCACAAAGTGGCAGCTGAAATCACGCCACACACGGTGTCCCCACTCCATTATTCTTCCCAGGGGGAGGAGCTACTTATCAGGTTGGGGAGTTTGGTTTCGGTCCTTCCTCTCGCTCTCCCATGTCTGTCCGCCTACAGGGCTGTCTGTCTGCCTGCAGGGCTGTCTGTCCGCCTGCAGGGCTGTCTCTCTGCCTGCAGGGCTGTCTGTCCGCCTGCAGAGCGAGCGCCTTCTCGCTGGTTGCCCCGTGTGCTAAGCTGCAGGTAAGACCTGCTGCCTAGAGCGCCCGGGTCCAGGGAAGGCCTGGGGCCTGAGAGCTGGCAGGTCTGCTGCCGTTTTTAGCTGCAGCTCCAGCCGGAGGTTTGGTGCCCATCTGCCTGGAGGTCCCATCTCTCATCCTCAGTCAGTTCTACTGTCAGAGGGGCCAGGAGGGCATTTCGTTGCCCCCCTGACACCGGAGCAGTAGAGATGCAGAGAGGACAAGGGAGGGGAAGGCAATGGATTCAGTCCTCCTGGCAGAAGCAGAATTTTGCAAAACTGTCAACTCGGCAAACTGTTTATCCTTATGGACAAAGTACACGATGCCAACATGCGGGCTACCACGCCGCGATGAGGATGGAATAAATCACACCTCAGTGATGCAGGCGCCTCACCGAGGTCCTTCTCTGCCTGTGGACACTGCGAAGCATGTCCCCCCCCACCCCCCCGCCCCGGTCCTCACTCACCTTTGGGACCAATGGGTCCGGACGGTCCTTCCAGACCCCCCTGCCCGGGCCGTCCCGGGTCCCCCATGGGGCCTGCTCGGCCGGGAAGCCCATCTTTTCCGGGGGGCCCCGGTGGCCCAGGTCTGCCTTGAGAAGTCTTCACGTGCGCCGGGGGCATCTGGGCCATGAGGTAGGCGAGTTTGGCTGCCGAGTGGGAAAAACAGGTTTCATGAGGGAGGGATGAAGGACAGAGGACAGCATGGTGACCCGCCGCAAGGCTCGGGGACTGAGTGCACAGAAAAGGAATGATCACGGCAAAACTGGCTCTGCAGGTGGTGAGCTGCCCGTACGAGAGGCAATCAAGCAGGGGCCAGTCGGGCCTCACTAGAGGGAGCTCTGGAGAGGGGTCCGTGTCAGGTGAGGCTGGCTAGAGCCTGCCAGGTGCCCTCAACCTGGGTTTCTATGGGAGCGGCTCTCAGCCGCCTTTTCCACGTGAGGCTGCAAAGTGCTGAAGGAGAAGCGACAGGATGCTCCCGGGCTGTCAGAGCCCCGGCCCGCATCTGCGCGCGAGAAAGGCAGGACTCACTCTCCAGCTGCTTCCCGACTTCTTCCTGGATGAGCCGCCGCAGGGTGTCCAGGGAGGGAGCCTCGCCCTGGGAGGGAGGGAGGCGCGTTATCTATCTCCCCAGGAACTCCTGCTCGGAGACCCCGGCAGGAACCACACATTCCGCGTCTGCCGGTCCGGTCCTTTCCACGTCTGGACTCCCCTCCCCTCTCCTCGTCGCACAAGCAGAGTCGTCCTGTTTTCCATGTGACCTGGACTCGGCTTGCTGGGCCCCTGCGCTGGCCCGCCTGCTCCTTCCTGCAGACCCGGGGGCCTGGCCCCGGATCTCCCCTGGGGAGGTCCTGCCCGCCCCCAGCACCGGCCCCAGCCCCGCCCGCCTGCATGGACTCGTGTCACATGACCTCTGGCTCTGACCCTGCACAGGTGACCACAGGTCTTGGAGTGGGGTTCTCAGAGGAGCAGAGTGCGGCCAGGCCCACGCAGGGACATGGGACACTGACGAATCTCTGAGAACAGTCCTCATGCCACATGGGGCTACGCCCTTGCCCCGCTGAAGGTCACACCCTCCCTGACCCCCTTGGCCCCCAGGA